TAATTTATATTCAAAAATAACTTTAGAGAGTATTTAATACATAACCATTTTCTAAAGTTAGTTTTGGAAAGTGGTAACATGTCAACTCACGTGAGGATTTTAAATTGTAGTTGTAATTGCGTGGAGATTAATAATGTTTGTGAGCAAATACCAACAACTCAACTATGCTGATGTAGCTGCAATTATGATTATGACACAATCTAAAGTTCTTGAAATGAAATATTATATAGCCCCAATTGCAATTCAAAAGCATGTCCTAGCTAGATACACGAACTATTATTTGCTTTCACAATCCATGTACTGAGCATTAAAAATTATTGAGAAATTACCACCGAAATAAAAATACTAGACATTAAGTGGCAGGGTGTCAGATTTGCACTAATAATATGCATATATTTTGCACTACTGATAATTGTTTGTTTTAAAGCCAGCATGCATCTCTAAATTATATGGTCCCACACTGATGAGATTTAGGGATGGCAATGGGTAAAGTACCCGATGGGCACCCGCAAAATTTACCCACAATGGGTAGGGTATTTACCCGTTATATGGGTACGGGTATGGGTATGGGTAAAAACCCGCAAATTTTAATGGGGATGGGTGCGGGTATGGGTATCTAAGTACCCACCCCGCCCCATACCCGCATATATATATATATATATATATATATATATATATATATATATATATATATGCTTGAACTTTATTATACAATTATGAATTGAATTTTTGTATTATTATATTACTTATGTGAAGTTATATAAGATTAATATAAAAATATATTTAATAATAAAGTAAACCAAAAAAATTATTTTGGTTTATATTTTTAATAGAAAAATTTATTTACTATTTTATATCATTTAATTTGGCTAACACAATTTAATTATTACATAGTTAATATGAGATTGACTTTTTTTAAAATATTATTTATATATGACACACATAAAATATTTTTTACACAAATATTTTTGTTAATAAAATCATATTGATGTTTTAATCATAAAGTGAATGATAAATAATAAATATATTATAAATATTTTATAAATTTTACAATCACCTACTATTACCGTAAACTAATTATTTATTAATAATATTTAAATTTTATTTTTATATTTTAATTTAAAATAATATTTTTCTATACAACATATGTATTACAAGTACAACTATAATTTATTGAATCTAAATAATATTATTCTTACTATTTATTCACATTCAAAGAAGTTTTTGAAAAGATATAAATATAAAAAATTATTGTTAATTTTTATTTGTTAATTTTTTTAAGATAAAAAAGTATAATTTTTTTAATATACACGTATATTTCTTTATTATAAAATTTTATTGTAACTATTTATCTTTTATTCAAATTCTTTTTTTTTAAATTTATATACATTAGAAATATTTAATTCACTAAAATAATTTTTTAAAAATTTATATTTTTGATAAAATACTTTCGTATAGTATATGAGTTAAAAAATACTAGTATTAATATATATATATATATATATATTAATTATATTATATTATTTTAATTAAATCTATTATTTTTCTTACAATTTGAAATTCAAAAGTTAAAAAAAATATTTTATGTATCAATTTTCTATTGTTAGTATTGAACTTCTCTACTCTAACTCTATTCTCATTCTCAATGTCTGTCTCTCTAAAACTTAATAACTATGAAATGTTATTCATTAGAGTTAGTTGTTAATGCCGTCACAAGAGGTTACTAAGTGATCCCACACGAAGGGACAACCATTGTACAGATCTATTTCGTTATCGTTCTGACATTACTAATCAATCAAATCTCACACAAGATAGGATTATCACTGACAAATAACTTGTGTGTTTAATTTTGCTTATTATTTCTAAGAATTTTAATTTAGAAAATTATTATATTAAGATACATTTAACATTTATGATCTTTGAATATTTGTTTTTTTATCTATATTTGTACCTTGTTCGACAACTACATATTGAATTTTTGTATTATTATGCTACTTATGTGAAATTATATAAACATATTTTTCTTTATAAATATTTTTTTCTCAAACAAGCGCGGGTAATGGGTACAAGACGGGTATGCGGGTACCCAGAGGGTACGGGTACGGGGATTAATGTTCATACTCATGCGGGTATGGGGCTGGGTACGGGTATTTTTTTAAAATGCGGGTATGGGGATGGGTACTGTAGTACCCTACCCATACCCTACCCATTGCCATCCCTAATGAGATTCATATCGGTTGGATGATCAACGTTCACTTGAAGAGGTAAATAATAATAATAATAATAATAATAATAATAAATAAATAAATAAATAAATATTTTATTGATACATTGTATGCATCTTGAGATATTTAAAAAAAAAATTAGAGGAAAGAAAAAAAAATCGATCATATATAAATACGAAATAGAAATTATAATTGGGTCAAATTTATTGAGTGCTTGTTATATAAAAATATTTATAATAAATAAAAAAATTTTAATGAGTATGAATATTTTAGTATTCTAGCTTATTTTGTATTTGCAAATTTTAAAATATATTAAATTGAATATTTTTTTAAATATCAACATTTTATTAAGAATAAATTTAGAATATGAGAAGTACTCTAATCCGTTACAACTCTAAAGGGAATTAATAATACATATTAATAGATCATTAATCCAATTTACATATACAATAAATCTTTCTAAAGACCTTGCTGCAAGCTACTTCCAAGAACGATATTTAATAGAATCAAATATTTCACTAACATTTAACACATTGTTAGTGAAAAGAATATTATTCCGCTGAAGCCAAATTATTCATATTACTACAAACCATACTAATACAACTCCCCTACATTTCTTTTTTTCATATTGGATTCTACACATGCTTAGTAACGTTTTGTACAAATTTTCAGGTAAGCATAAACTGACACTAAATCATTCAAACACCATGTATTACAGTTTAATAGAAATATCGTAATGCAAAAAACGATACAATATGTCTTCATTTTCAATATCACACAACCCACAAACTTCTGAGGGAATCGACAATCCATGTTTGGTCAAGTTTTTCTGTATTGAGACTGCATTAAGTAATAGATGCCAAACGAATATCACTACCTTTCTTAGCGTACTAATCTTCCAAATCTTGCATAAGGCTTGCACTAGACTCAGCTCCAAACCACTACATGTAATAAAGAAATGATGAATGTAATGATAAGCGAATTGCACAATATATTTCTTGTCATCATCACACTTCCATAGTAAGATGTCATTCACATTTTCTCCTAGTCTCTTATCCTCCATAGTTTTCTACAACTACTCTTGTAAATCATCTTCTCTATATTCAATTGAATATATATATATATATATATATATATATATATATATATATATATATAATTTATTTAAAAGATTTTAGACAGCGGAAGCATGGAATATACAAGTTTATGAAATAATTATTTTTAAATTTTTTTATAATTTTTTTTATTTTATTACACTGAATTTGAACATATTTAAATTATTCAGTTGACGTATGATTTAAATTAATTATTATTAGTTAGTCAATAAAGAATAAGAATAAAAAAAATAAACCTAACTCAAAAACTTAAAAAGTCTAAATGAGAGCATATAGGAAAATATATAAGAGCCTAAGAGTATAAAATCTCCAAAGTAACTAACTAACGTACATATCAGTACATTAATTTTTCTCTCTACATAGGTAGTTATTTTTAATAAACTGAAAAAACTTTAAGAATTTCTAATTGAGTTAATCAAATGAAACAAATATATCTTCATTGCTCAATTCAACTATAGTTCATCTTGTCTTTGCAACATAACCCAATGGAGAGAATTAGCAAGATATATGTATAATGACCAAGGTTCAAATCCTATGTCTTGAAAATTCCTACACCCCTTCCCTTTGCTGCAATGACCCAGAAAATAAAGCAACTGGGTTTGCCCTCAAGAAGATATCAATTGAGTTCTATGTTGACAGGGTCCTGAAAAAGTAGATAAACTGCACCACTCACATGATCCATCCCCCAACTTGCATCCCAAAGTACTTGAAACTCAAAATGGCTAGAATTGGACCAAAGAATTCATGCCCTTCCCAGTTTTTATTGGGTTGGTCAACTTGGCCCAAATCTGACCAAAGTACATCAATAACATACTTTATTTTACACATCTTACTTTTACATATAACAATATTATAAATATAAATTCTCATTCTTAATTATAAAATTCCTTTTATTGTATTCCCTTATTCCTCAAAACACATTATTATATTGTCATTGAACAATTATTTTTATATTTTAAAATTATAAAATTCTTAATTTAAAATATTTCTCTCATGTTAAGATTTTTTCTTTTAAACCTTTACATCAATTACTTTTAATTTTTATATGTAAATAATTTTATCATTTCAAATTTCAATGCATATATTTTCAAATTATTTTTAATTTACTATTTCTCTTAAATTTAAACTACTTGTCTATTTTAATTAATTCTATACTTTTCTGTTATAATTTTAAATAATTTTATTTATAATATTTAAATACTATTTAAATTGAAAAAATAATACCCCCCACAATGTACCAGATATTTGCTAGTTGTATAACAATTGATGGATCTTCCTTACAAATATAACAATTGGATTGATTTACAAGTTACAGACAACGTTTATTTCTCTTTAGTTATGCACAAATTTAGCTAATTGTTAGATTGTCACAATTAGGAGGATTTAAAACTAGCTTAACCTCCATGTTTCTATTCTTAGTTTCCTCTTGCATGAGACAGTCCCTTAGCCATTGCTTGACACAACAACTTAAACAAACTTCCAAGTCCCAAGCAATTACTAACCACTTTAACCTCTATAATCACTACCTCATACCACTGCTTCTCCTATAAAACCCTAGTAACTCCTTCCTTTCTTGCTATCCTCTCTTCTTAACAATTCAAATAGTTATATCTTTTAATCAATTAAAGAAAAAACATATTGTACCATGACTTTTCAAGTTATCAATTTCATCCTTTGGTGCTATATTTTAACTATTATGATTTTCTCATTTTTCACTCCAAATGTTAGTTCTGCCAAGCAATCCAAGATAGAAGGCTTGGAAATGAATGTGATAGATCAATGTTGGAGATTGAATGGTGAATGGAGGAGAAATCGATCACAACTTGCCACATGCTCGGTGGGTTATGCAGGGAAAATGACAAACAACATAGGTAAGGACCTCATACATTATGAAGTTACTGATTCTAGTGACAACCCAATAAACCCCAAACCTGGCACCTTGAGATATGGAGCTTCTAGAGTTCAAGGGAAAGTTTGGATCACATTCGAAAGAGACATGCACATTAGACTCGAGAAACCCCTTTTCATTAGCAGTTTCACCACCATTGATGGTCGAGGTGTCAATGTCCACATTGCTGATAATGCATGCTTGATGATCTTTAAGGTAATCAACGGCTTCAGCTAATTTCAGAACGAAATTTAGATTAAATTATCTTTGTAATTAGCCTTCATTAAATATATGTAGTAGAATTTTTTTTAAAAATGTGAGCTGTGCTAATATCATCTTTTAAGGATGATTTCAATAATTTAAAATTAGTAAATTTTTATTCAAAAAATATTTTATTACATTAAAATTATAAAAATGTAATAAATAATTATTTTTGATGAAATCTTATTATTTTTAGCTACTTAATCTCAGCTTCAAAGATTGCGGTTAACATTTTTCAAATTATATACATATGAAGGAGAATTTAATGATACTAATGTTAATAACTTAATCTAATTTTGTCTTTTTTCGAACTTGTGCAATTATCATTATCATGCATCTACCACTTGCTAACAATTCCATGGTTATTTGTTATTATTAGGCCACCAACATAATCATCCATGGCCTTAGGATTCATCATTGCCGACCTCAAGCTCCTGGACTGGTGATGGGTCCTAATGGAAAGGTAATGTCTTTGGGTCAAGTAGATGGAGATGCAATAAGATTGGTTACCGCTACCAAGATCTGGGTTGATCATAACACTCTTTATGATTGCCAAGACGGTCTTCTTGATGTCACACGAGGTTCCACTGATGTAACAGTCTCCAACAACTGGTTTAGGGAACAAAACAAGGTCATGCTTCTTGGCCATGATGATGGGTATTTGAGAGACAAGAACATGAAAGTCACCGTTGTGTACAACTATTTTGGACCCGATTGCCACCAACGCATGCCAAGGTAGATAATTCTTCAATTAATGTTGAATTGCACAATTAAGTAGTTAAAAATACATATGTCAAAGATTTTAATTAATTGTTTTATTATTTGAATAACATTGCAGAATTCGCCATGGGTATGCACATGTTGCCAACAATCTTTACATGGGATGGGTGCAATATGCCATAGGTGGAAGCATGGAACCCAGCCTCAAAAGTGAAGCCAACCTCTTCATAGCACCAACGTCTGGGAGTAAGGAGGTAATTTATTCAAGCATTTCAACAAGTTTAATATTTAGAAATTAATTTTTTATCTCTGTTTTCTTTCGAAAAGAAATTTATTGTTTATTATCATTTTTACCATAACTTTAGCATTAATATATGAAATAGAATATCAACAAAAAATAAATCTTATTGTTTCAATAGAGCCAATTCTAGTGTTTGTATATAGAATTAGTGGAAATGGAATATGCTAATAACTTGTACGTACAGGTGACATGGAGAAAAAGCAGTAATGGAATTGGAGACACGTGGGAATTTCATTCAGTAGGGGACGCTTTTGAAAATGGAGCCTCATTCGTGGAAACAAAAGGTGAAAAGCTACGAACGCCAAATTATAGCCCTGAACAGAGATTTAAAGTTGCTGAAGCTACATCTGTGAGATCATTGACAAGCTCATCGGGTGTGTTACGATGCACTAATTAAAACCTCCATATGTTAAGAAATATAAGAGCATTGAAACTCCGTTGTTCATAGAATGAGAACAAAATAATGAGTATTGTACTTCTAGAAAGATTTAGCATACATTGAAAAGTATAGTTCAGAGACACCCTTGGGTTGTTCGTTGGGGGATCGTGTTCCTATTTAGTTAAGAAGTTTATTACTATGTAGGGTTTATCAATATGTCTCTGTTGCTGTAATGGATATATGGTCGCCCAACCATCATTTAAAACAAATTCAATAATTGATTTGGTGCTTACGTTGAATTACAAATGTAGAGACGCATGTTCGATAAATAAAAAATGATAAAATTTAATATAATTTAATGCATTAGCACCGTTAAATATTATAGTTTTTGTAAAGTCGTTCCCTTCATTTTCTTATGTTGCATTTGTGGGATAGAAAGATGGATGAATAACAATTATTTTCTTATCTTTGACTTTAAGTTTTACCAAAGTTAAGGTGTTTGGATTTGGAATAACGTTAGGTCCACTGGAGGCAAGTTCGTGAGAAATGTTGTTATTATTATTCGGTGTATAAATGACTGACATATTTTGAGATGAGCCATCTCAAAGTCAAAATGGTCTCTGCAAGAACACTTACATAATATGAAATAAAGTATCCCGTGTTGCAACTTGCAAATTATCAATATTTTTTGTTACTCTATTTCCACCATTACAATTAATTATTCACAGGTTACATATGTGATGTATCCTCTCCTATTTTATCATCAGATATTTTAATATCAACTTAGCATCTATTATTTACACTTATATTACATATATATATATATATATATATATATATATATATATATATATATATATATATATATATTACAATAGTATAAATTTAATTTAAATATTTTATTTAACTTACATCTAACAGATTATAATTTTTTTATTTTTAAATAAATGTATGCTACTTTTCAGGATGTGAAATAGTCTTTATCCTTTTATTACAATATTATATATATATATATATATATATATATATATATATATATGTATATACAAATTGACACATTAGAGTTCACATTTAGAATGTCTTTGCCATTAGGAATTGAGATACTCTGCACTGAATTCTATTGTACCCTCTCCAATTTTAATCCTATCTATTTATTATAATATTTATTAATTTTAAAATAAAAGATAAATTATTTTAATGGCCATGATCTATCCAGTAGAGTATTTTGGTCTCTGCCATTAGACTTGTACGAGCCCTACATTGTAAAATCCAAATAAATTACTGATTCTAAAAGATGCAAAACACGATATAAATAACATGACCAGTACCAAAAACAGAAATAAGTGACATAAATTAATGCACCGTTTTATCACTCTTGTTTACTTTCTTTTTTATAAACCTTTTTTTCTCAATATTTCAATTTTCTTGTAATATATCTTGGTCTTCCTATTACAATAATGACACTTGATTTTGTATGATTTTTTTATTTAAATTTTTTTAAAACTAGAAATGAAAGAAAGAAATCAAATTTAGGATGTTAATTATAAGAAAATAAGTCCTACACAAATATGGAAAAAATTATCCTTATTTACGTGTAAAATATCATAAAAATCATTTATTTGTATCTATTTTTATTTGCCACTCACTGTCTTTAAAAAGCATATATTAAGCCCATCTTAACGAATTACTTTTTTGTTTTTCCGTTAATTTTTTCATGCAAGTGCATCTGGCTTAAATTGTTGTTAATCGCCCCATAGTAATAGAGGTGGAGTGTAGTTCCATACTTACTTCATGATATCCATACATCATTTATCTTATTTTATATATTTTTTTTCTAAAAGTTTCTTTAAAATTCTTTTGCAAAATTAAAATTATTCAATTACTAATTAACTATCCAATATGCTTTAAGAGTAATCTCAAAGCTTTATTTATTAAGTTTCATGTGAAAGACAAAAGTATAAATTGTCAAAAGACATTTTTGGAATATAAGTACCAAAAAATAAAAATAAAATTATATATACATGCAATATTAAGTTTCAATTGTTCAAATTAAATAACATAATAGTTCACATATATTATAGTGCATACGTGAAATACCAAACAAAATACCTGCCGTTACAAATAATGACAGCAGGAATTGGAAAATAAAGAACAAAGAAGTTAGCGTCCTGCGTGCGACACTGTGACTCATCCCTATTGATGATGATGCGGTTGAATGAACAGAGGCCACAAATACTCTTTCTGTAAGTAATTAAGGTATGTAGCTTTTCCTTAATTCATCTAAGAGCAGAATCATACATTTAACTCAGTCACTGAAGTCAAATGCAGTTGCCATTCAAGGACTACATGCTCTAACAAATCATGAGTGGAAAGTTAAAAACACTTAGAAATTAACATTTTTCTATTCAAAACTGATTTTTATACATAGACACTTCGAACTAAACACGTAACCAAAACACCATCTTTGAAGTGCATGTTTGGAAACGTATAAAAAAATCTGTAAGCATTAATCTAATGTAAAAACTTTAATTAGTAACATTAAAGAAAGCACGAATTTATTATTACGTAAACGTGAATTAGACATGCTGGAACTTGAGATTGAGATATTGAAATTGCATTCACTCAATCAACGAGCAGTGACTGGAGTAAGCAGCGTTCGAGTAACTTCTACTTCTAACCCATGAGTCCATGATCTCTCCAATGTGGAAGGAGAGTGCTGAGTGAGAAGGGAAAGGCTAAGAACAACTTCTCCCATTGTTGGTCTAGACAAAGGTTTCTCTGCTGTGCAATTCACTGCCCAGAAAGCGATGCTGAGAGCATCATCAAGAGAATAAAACTCCCCTAACATAGGATCCATCAATTTTCTAAACCTTTCCTCTCTCTTCACTTCTTGATCAAAGATCCCTTTAACCTTACTCCACACCATTGCCAATTCACCATTTTCATTGTTTGCTAAGGATTCTTTTCCTGTCAGTAACTCCAACAAAACCATTCCATAACCGAAGACATCTAATTTTGTTATCATAGGATTTGTTGATGTTCTTGCCGCGGAAAAATTTGCTATCTTGGCCTTAAAGTTGGAGTCAAGAAGGATGTTACTTGTTGTGATGTCCATGTGAACTATACATGGTTGAATGTGTTCATGCAAGTATTGAAGACCCATGGCAACATCAATTGCTATGCTTATCCTTTGACTCCAATTGAGGAAGCCCATTGAGCTTGAAACATTGGAAGACTTGGAGAACAACCAGTTATGAAGAGATCCATTTTCAGCATATTCATATACAAGGAAGAAATTCCCGTCATTACCTAAAGAAACTCCTGTTAGTTTAACAAGATTTGCATGATTTACCTTTTGTAAAATCATCACCTCTTTTGTGACATCTTCCTTCACTTTTTTCACTGCTAAAACCTGACCATCCATTTTGGCCATGTACATTGATTCCCCAATCCTGCATTGTTCATTGAGGTTCATGGTAGCTTCCATAATCACACCAACTTCATACATGGTTGGTTTGCTTACATAGCATGAAACTCCAGAAATTAGCTTATCTGCAGTCTCCACAGAAGGCCCGCTCCTATTCTCACTACTAGTCTTCTTTTTCCTCAAACAATATACATAAACCAGTAATAAAAGAGTAAACAAAACAATGCTAACACCAATGGAAATGATCACAATAGATAGATGATTGCTTCCCTTTCTTTCATGTGGTGAATAAATTTGAGAAAGAGCTGGTAGCTGTGTCACTGGGATAAAAACTGGAAGGTTGGTTGCAACATTGAAGTTCTGGCTGATGTTGTTTTCAGTTATTATGTCCACTGGGGATGCCCCAAACTTGGCAGCTACAAGGGTAACATTATCATTTTGCTGCCAAACATAGGTAATCAAATATTCTATCCCTTTATCCAAGTGGTATCTTGAAGAGCACTTGCAGAACAAAGGGATCACTATTTTGATACCTGCATGCAACTGATATGGGTCTAGATGAGGGTTTAAATCTTTCACTTTTTCCCAAGTGGTGAGATTCTCATATGAAGTGGTTGAAAGAGAATAGTAGCTATCACCTTGCCTGATCTCATGTGAGATAGTGGCGAATGAGAGGTTTCCATTGCAACTACAATTTACAGGTACTAACAAGAGTTGACCTGGAATAAGATCTTCATATTCGGATTTCATGTTACTGGCTCTTGCAATGGATAGAGGGCTGGTGTCAAATATGTCAGATATGCTTGTTAGAGTCAAAAAATTTGGAGACTGTGCAAAGTATGCCACGTATGTGTCACAAGAAGGAATTGAATTCACGGGGCATGAAAAGTTTGTTCCATTTGTTAGTGGCAATTGAGCTAGGATATGGGTTGTGGTAAAGAACATAAGTGCAAGAAATAGGGTATGATAGGAAAGGAAGAAAAAAGCCATTGTACTAGTGAACGAATGAAAGGCACGAGGGAAAGAGAAACGGAAATTTGTTATTATGAGAAAATCAGCATTGTTGTGATAGAACTTCGTTATTAAACTAGTTGGAATTATTAAAATCAGCTGGAACTTTTGTCTTTAGCTTTAACCATTTTTTTCTTTTGTTTATTTTCCTTTTCCATTAGTTGGCTCGGTGGAGACATGTCATATTCTTGTAACCAGTATTCAATTCATGCACACGATTTCAATTGCAGTGAATATTCTATACTTGATTTTACTTCCAACGTGAATGTTTCATTTTGATCTAAGGCTGAATTCATCTTTAGGACGGCCATTTGTCGCTCTTACCATATTTATCTATATGTGAAGACAGCTGTCTAGTGCCACACCTAAACACCAACTAATTTGAAGTTTCCGCAAGATTTTTACAGGGAAAATTTTCAGATATTCTTTAATTGTCAAATTATACCAAATTTTGGTTTAAATTCATCCGTTGGTCATAAGAGTTTATGACCAGACTTAGTGATTCACTTTTGGGTAATTGTTTGAGGAAGGAACTCTGTTCTTCAATATTTCTCAGTCTACTCCATAGAGCTACTTGAATGTAGGCTTATAATGCTTTGAAGTTATTCTACTACTATTTCGAATCAAAAGGTGATAGACAAACTGTTATGAACGGCTAAAATGTAAAGTGAAAGCAATGAAGAAAACGGAAATAGCTGAAAAGTAAAAATTATATTAATATAGGTTTTGGTCCTAGCATCTGGTACAATTGCTCCTTCTTCTATTTTTACTATTACAGCTGAAATACAATATGAAAACTGCATTAATGTCACTACTCCACATTCCCCTTTACATGCGGCAACTCCAAATACATGTAAGTCAGTATGCCCACTAAGTTGTTCTTGAGTTGAAAGTAGCTATAAACTTGAAAGTTAATGAAAATATAAGTAGTTTATTGAATTAAAGTTGTTTAAAAAATTAATTGTGTATTAATTTATGTTAAAAAATTTAAAAAGACATATTATATGAAAATTAAATATTATTTATTTTATTAATTTATTTAATACTAATTAATTAATTAAATTATCAAATACGTAGATCAACTAGAAAATGAATGTAAGATAAACACACGGAGAAATTTTTGTTGAAAAAAATACATGTGGTGTAAACTATAAAAATTAATTAATTAAATATTTATATAAAAGAATAAAATTTATCTTCGTCTATATTTTTGAACATAAAATATTTTAAAATATACCTTTAAAATAAGTAAAACTAAGAAAAAAGACTCTTGTAATATAAATCGAAGTCACCAATTTAGAACAAAAATATTTAAAAAATATTTTATTCTTTGTTAAGTCACTGGTATAAGATAAATTAAATCTTAATTGTTAACTATAATCTTACTAAATTTTAACTTAGATTTGTTAAAATTTTAAATTTTAAAATATCTTATTAATAAAAATGTTTAAAGATAAATGTATACGTGTAGAGTTTTAATTGTGTAAAAGATAAATTATTTTTTTTAAAAATAATGAGTAAAACTAATAATACAAAAATTGGTAGTCAGCTTTTTAAAATTATATATTTATTTAAATATTTTTTTAAATATTAACTGTTAGAAACTTTTTTTTATTTATTTACTCCAGTTTATTAAATTTATTGATTAAATCAACGAGTTATAAACTCTCAAATAATTAGAAACTATCTTTACTAAAGATAATCTAAAATTTATTGTCACTTTTTAAAAATAATTTTTTGTATAAAATACTATATTTTATTGGTTGATTAAATTAATAATAATAATAATAATAAAATAAATAAATGAGAAATGATAATAGACATTTTGGACTGACACTACACTATACTACTAGTCCAAATGTGCAGTGGTCCCTAATGTAATTTTAATCCAAACGCTTAGCAAGCTAAGTGTGTCGAAGGCGCTTACAAGCCCAATTCCCACTACCTCATTAGTTGCTTGACCCGTCGCTTTAAAAGGACCCACTATGCAATTAACTTCGCACCAACAGCTGTTTTTGTTTTAATTATTCGATTAAAAAAACAGTTGGTTTCTATATAAATACTTATTTTTAATTTATTCATTTTATAAAATATTAAATCGATCCACAATAATACACAAAATTGTTCTAATATAATAATTGAATTCTCATCTTTATGTGTTCTCAATTTTAATCCGTATAAGATGACAGTACAATTTTATGTACAATTTAAAACTTTATTTTAATAGGAACCAAACTAAATTAATATAGGATGTAAAAACAAAAGTCTAACACCACGAAGCCTGCTGTCTGTAGCAGCCTGCAATGAGAAAAAGAGAAAAAAGCATGGACTGAAACAAAATCTTGCTTCTCCTTTTTTATGCAACCCCGCATCAAAGTATTTTAACTTGAATGAGCAAATAATATATTGCAGTATCAGTAATAAAACTAGCGTATACATCTTTACGATTTTCAATTTCATTAGCAAGTTTATAGTGAAATGTAAGATCTTTATTTTGAGTGAAGTCAATAATAAAGTATGAATGATCACTTCATTTACTTACACCTAAAAGTACTTCCAAGTCGTTTCCTCGTAGCCTTTCCTCTTTCATCCTCCGTTGTCAACAATCGCGAGAAAAATATTAGGAAATTAAAAAAAAAAAAAAATCTTAACAAGGCGCTTACAAATTTTGCTAAATAGGAAGTTAAAAATTTGTCCCATGAATGAAGTAGATCAATAATTTTCAAGTCCCTCAAATCATTATTCTTCAGAAACGAGCTCATATTCAACTAGCTCATTTTTCAAAAAATTACAATCCCATATTAATGAGAAGTTTTAGAAACTAATAAATTCAACATACCTACAAGCACAACTTCGAGAATAAGTTACAAAACTTGATTTATTCAGCAGCAGAACATCAAGCATACTTATTTCTCATAGGAAATTTCTTCTACTGTTGAAACCGAAATCTTAATAGTCATACACAATAAATAAATCACTAAAACAATGAATAAGCCTTGTCCACGAGAGTCGATAGCAGTAAAGTTGATGGAAGTAACTGCATATACTAGGCCACTCCAAAGAAATAGAATTAAGCCTGCAAGAAGCTTGCATACTTTGCACCTAAGAAAAGTCGCTGAATGCAGAGCAGTGCATTTTTAGTAACCTCTGCATTTTCATGATTCATTAGTTTCATCACTCGTTCCTTGGCCTTAAGGTCTGTCACAATGATCCGCCCAGCAGGATGGTGCTGGATAAACTGTGAAAGGTCAAAGCAGGAAACAGCCAGAGTCCTTGGATCACTAGACGTGTCCAAAATTGTTATTAGGACCCTTAAAATCTGCAACAGATGAAAATAGTATTAATAAATAGATGAATGTTTGTTTGTGAGAAGATATCGTACACAATAACATTACACTAATACTATCTTTTCTTTCTTTTTCCATTGCCAAAGCACTTCATATAGCATAACCATCTGTTCCCGCTATAAAAACACTATATCACTGTTGACAAAATAGAAAAAAATTATGATTTGTAGTACGTGTATCTTATTTTGATGGGATCTCTGTGAGAACCCTCAAGGGAACAATACATTTTAAAACCCATGTACTATGTTTCTGATCAAAATCAGTGCAGTACAACATATACTACTTTTACATGAATATCAAATTTATATTTACAGACACCTACTGTTGTCTTCTTTTCCTCAGGACAAAATACAATTATCTAACATACTACAGAAATAACAATACCATTACCACTAGACAAAACCAATCAATCTGTTCTTTTGCACATCTGCAGATGTTCATCAAAATTTGGTAACTAGATTTTTATAAAAAGGAAAATATTTTGGACCAAGAAATATGTTTGACCGTAATGCCTTATTAGGAATCACCACAATAATAATTTCAGGAAATAAATAAGTAATAAAACGGACTTTATCTATTTAGACATTAGCTGAAGACAGTAGTTAGGAAAGTTGTGATCCAGTAGGCTGCAATCACAAGACTCCATAAAATATAAAAGTTGTTCATTTATTGTTTATTTTCATTACATTTACATTGCATCATGATAACATTTTATAAACTAACAAAAAGTGTCAGAGAAAACACTTATCAGTAGAAAAATCATCACACGATCACACTAAAAAGAAAAAACATCCAAGTTGATACTATCATTATAAGAGAAAATTTATAATAGCTTGCACAATCAACTATGTAATGCTCATACTCAGTCTCAGACTGGAGAGCCAAGCTTACAAATATTCTATCATGGAATCCAACGTCAAGTAGTTCAATGTTGTCTAATTTTGCACAGAAAACCATCAGAAACACAAAAGCGAGCTAGCTACCCAGCCAGTCAGCATTCAGTACTAACCATTTCTGTCAAGGTGAAACCCAATATGAGCCCCACGGATACTACCAAATTATAAATTTCTAAAATAAAGAAAATAACAAAGAAAATAATATGGCTACATGCAACTGAAAGCTTTTTTATTGTTCTCAGCCTAAAATGTCAGGTGTGCTTAAATAAGAATTGAATTGAATTGAAGCATAAAGGAAGGGAAACTGCACATATACCTGGAAATCATTCTCTTCAAAGTTGGTTATATTTTCTCGCCAGAATATGGGATCTTTGTGCATGGGAGACCAATCCAGATGGCCAAGGAGAACTTCTTGCTTGTACTTATCAAAAGAACTCAGTTTCTTAATATTATCCTTAAGCCCTTCTTCCAGGGAATTTAGTGCCTCCAACAAATCCTATGAAAAATTTTCTAATCAATAATAGTAGCGTTGGGGAAGAAAGAGGAAATATATTATTTTAAAAGGAAATGTGGTAATTGAGGTCAAAGAACACCCCACTATTATAAGTTTGTAATTTAAAATAAAATGATAAAGTTCAAGAAACATAAGATCTAAATATAAGGAAGGACAACAAAGCGTGTGTAGTTCAATCACAGAGTGCCAATTCAAGCAAATATAAGAGAAAACAGAAAGATG